GGTGGTGGAGTCTAGTTTGTTAGTAAGTAAATGCCGAACTACCACCGCCTTAACTACTTTTTCCATCTAATTTTCCGTCTTAGTTTTGGGGATATGTTAAGACAGGATCTTAGGCAAATGTTGAAATTTACAGGCGCATAAACCTCAGTGGTATCTAGAGTGATATTAAGAGTTAGAAGGAGATACAATAAATGAGATGGTTAAGTTGCTTGGAGAGTTTAAGCAGAATGGGGGGAGTTGGAATGCTGCTTGATTAAAACTGTACGAGAAAGATGAATTTGTATTTCGCATATGGATTGAAACGACTCCGGTTAGATGCCTCTACAGAGGTTTCATTGTGGACTGTACTTCAAAAAAATATCGTGTAGGCTGACTGTGCAATGTACCGTGATTTGTGTCATGTTCCTGATAGTAAAGCTTGTAGCTCTGGCTAAGGCTATTTACATTAGTGTTAGCCTGAAGTGGACCTGCTGTGTGTAATTGGAAGTTGCTATAGCTGTTTTTATACTCTGATGCTATTGGTATTTGGTCGGTCTGCACCGTGGAATGTGGATTTTTTTCTGAGTGCACTGACGATTGTGATACTGAAGATTTGAGACGGGGTGTGCGATAAAAAATCTATTACTTCTACACTTACTTATAGCTATAGGCTTTAGTGGATGAGTAGTACGTAAAGCACTTCAGTAATCATTATTAGTTTGCGTGCTCAAAGGTTGATTGTGCTTGTTCTAACCACTAGTTCTGTTGTTTAGATGTGTTGAAGTTATATGATACCAGAAAATTGAATATTTCAACTGTTCCTGGAAGAGCCATAGAGAAGTCGGGTTGAAGCATATTTATATATGTGGTGAGATTTGCAGTTTCACCCTTCTTTGCCAGAATCGAAGAGTTTCCTCCTGTTCGTGAAATTAATTGAATTTTATTCGAGTTATCTTGTGTCGTACCTTCAGGAGAACTAGCTTTACCTGGTTATGTTCAGTTGGTTGTGTGTCGTCATATGACTCACATTCAAGCACTTTACTATGTGAGAAATCTGGACTAGAAATAGAAATGTCGTTATGTTTTTTGGTGTGAGTTGGAATCCATATCCTAATCAAAGATTTCTGACTTCCAGACTTATCTAGGTCTACGGAGTGATCTGTCTTTTATGTATCCAGATCATGCTCAAGGGGAATATGTTTGATACACTTTACACAATTGCAAGCCACCTCTCGATGTTCATTTGCTGTAACTTGACCACGCGATTTTATTGCTCTACGTTTTCTTACATAACATTGGCGCCGCTCTTTTCGTTAATACTTCAGCTACAAACAATTAGGATGCATCCAAATTTAGTGAGTTGTTTGGTGTATTTGTCACTATTCGGGACCCATATATGTTTGAGGTGTGCAAACTATTTAATTTTACTGCTAATTTTAGCAAGTGAGTTTTGTGACTGATGGATATCCGTACTAGAGTGGTCGGTATTTTGTAGTGCACACGGTAAAATATTATACTCCCTGCCTTTGAATTTTTGTATTTTGGCCCTAGTGAATCATGCTGACAGATACACTTTATTGAATTTTCAGTGCGCGTGGGTATCGTAGGTTTTATATCAACCAGTTTTACCGTCAGCATACTGTCCGAAAAGGTGGAGGGGTTTCGGTTTGGAAAGTCAGGCGGTGTAAGATCCATTTTGAATGTGTTGTGTGTTGGTGAAAATCCCTCCATGTATATACTTGTACTTTATTCCTATTGATCACATTAGTTGTACATTGTTGTATTTTGATTACATTTGAATTGTTAATATTTGTATTTTTGTTATAGTTTTTGTTTTTATTACGCATTCACTAAGTTTGTGTTTCTTCCTGAACTGCATCTGCGTTGTTTTACTTGACACTTGTTCTTGGCGGTAGCCATATTGATTTGTTCCTCCTGTTGTGTGTGATCTATCCAGTCAGGATAGAATAATGTTCATTTGTTGTGATTGGTAATTTTTCCTCATCTTCTATCAACTTCTTTATTTATTGTAATTTAGATTTAATTGATTGAACAATCATTGGTTGAATAGCCGGGTGATAATATTTGTTTAGGTAATGATTGACATTAAATTTATTATGAATTATAGAACCGCTAGTTACCCGATTACTTGTTCTGATTTCGACGGGAAAGGGGGCGTGTCTAAAATCCCCGGTAGGCTATTCTTCAACATCCAACCCGTAGTTTGGATCCTACAGGCGGCGACAGCAATTTTGTAGATGAGAAGGGAAGAGTTCATAATTCGAAGGATTGGCTTCGTCTAGTACTGATTTATCAAACGTAGGGATTACAGATTTCGACCGTTTCGTTGGTTTAGAAGTAACGTTTCTTTCTTCCTGGGATTACTGGTCACAACTGGATGTTGAGTGGGTAAGGAGCTCATTAACCAAATAAAATCTATGAGTATGATGCTAAACTCAGTGTCTGTGGGTATATGAAGAATTTTAGTGACTAAACGTAAGTTTATTGAGTACAACAGCAGCTATCTATGAAGTATTTATGCATCACTTTGTATAATCAGGAAACATTAATGAGTTTACGGTAACTGTTATGGACTTATATAAAATATTTATAAAAGTTCATGATGGATATGTGCTAACTGGTAAATTAAATTCAGAAACCAACACTTATGTAAAAAATATACTCAATATACAAGATAGCATGGTAGTTAAAAAGCAATACAATCTACATATGAATACTGTTGCATGAGGTTCTGTCGCTCACATCAGTACCGAGAGTAGAAGCTGACTGTTCGATGAATCCCCCATATCTAGCTTACATGTTCATAGGTATTTAACCTATGAACTGCCACTTAACAAGTAAACACCCATTCATCTTCAAATGCTTCAAACCACTGCACTAGTGTAATCCCTTGATCTTATGGAATTTTGGCGTAGATATAGGGTTCTTCCCCTGAGTCATATTATAATTTATAGTCCTCCCCAGATTTTTGAGAAAACCACAAACTGATGGAAATGTGGATGATTTTTCCAAAGTCAATGGAAATTCCATGGATAGAACCTGAAGATGGTATAGCGCAGTTGTTTTAAAAATGGATTTGTTTTGTACTGCATAGTTTAAGTCTTCTAAGAGCGATTCTGACAGATAATATTGCTTTTTGTATGAAAAAAAGTTAATTCCACATTCCAGCACCAACGTTTGTGTTTTTTGACGTCATATTAGCAAAAGGTAAAGAAGCGTTTGTTCCGTTCCACTTTTTCAAGAACCTAACGCCATGCTCGTGAGTTGTTGTTGATGTAACAGTCTTCGACTACCCCCTTAGTCCAGCCGATCTACAGTTAACTGTTTCTTTTAGATTGATGATGTTGGACGTGATGAAAGAGTTAAGAGACAGATGGCAGTCGTCAGAGTGCCTAACTTGATGGGCCGCAAGCGGTTGATATTTCACAGTTTGAAGAAGTTAGATAAGTTCCAAAGGAATTATGACTTATGCGTTACTAAGAGATGGACCTGTTGCACTATGTATCTGAATGATGTACAACGTTGTAACAACGCCGTTCTATTCTGCGATGGAACCGACCCGAGGAACTCTAAACACAGGACGCATGTCACTACTCAGTTCGTTCAAAGTTGTGGAAAAGAGGAGTGGAAGTTCCACTTTTTGAACAGTTTGAACACAGTTTAAATCTAGAAGATGTTAGTGGGGAAAACGTGATCGTTGATACTAACATTTAAAATCCACGGAGCCGTACTTTCATATCTATATGTAACAGCCAAGTTTACTCGTTCATCACATTAGTTTCCATGTGTCTCAATGTGTGCTTATTAGTGTACTTTTCTTATAAACCTGTACCAGTCTGTTTTCCTGTAGACGTCATTCCCTTAGTCCAATGCCCAACAAATATTCGAGAGGGCCTGAGTAACAACTACTCGTGACAATTTGGACGTATTTTTCCAAACGGAGCGGTTCTCTAACGTAGTTCGTGGTTTATTTTATCCATAACAATTCCAGCCTATCATAACTCCAATACAATTGACCACGATTCTAGTGTCTTTGTCATCAGAAATCCATTGAAATAAACGGGAGGCGTTACTTTTAAATCAAACGACGGCTTCTTTTAATTCAGCACAGTCGTATTTATTCTATCGCCATACAACATGATCGTTGCTGTATGTGTTATTTGATTTGCATCCTAAATGCCTATTCAGGAATATCACTGTTTAAGATTCCACTCAATCGCTTGATTATATGATACAAATACAACGGTAACTTATACTTCTGACAAGGATAAAACAATCGGTAGAAGACGTAGCCCAGCGAACAATTGTGGTTTTTCAATGTCAAGATTCGGGGGTTATGAGAAGGGAAACAGTTGAATATCTTGCCTCCATGCAATCCCATATTTGATGTTGAATATTACAAAAGTACATCAAGGCCATATCTAGCTTTCCTGACATTAGGATGTGCTTATAAATAGTCCGTAAAGTATTACACCCATTTTCCAATACATATCATTAGATCCACTCATAGAATAGAAGTTTGTTGTGGTCTAAATAGAGACAAACCACGCAATAAAATTTCGTAAAGGATAAAGTTAAGGACTCTGGGTGTGTTATAATAGGCACTTATTAGGTGACTCGCACTTCCAAGGTTGCTAACAAGCAGTGAAAAGCCAGAATTTTCTTGAGGTTTCAACTAGTTATCATGTGAAAACTTTCCGCCTGACTAATGTGGTTTCAATTTCAAATGAATAGTTGAGATTCTCGAAAACAATCTTCTTTCATTCCGTCTAGAACCCTCTTGAAGTCTTGAGGAATAACTTGCCCCAGATGGTTGCTTGAGCAATTACAGAAATATGGATACATATTGTTTGGTAAAAATCAACCTGTGTTTTCATTCTTAGCTATTCTGAAAAGCTATGCAAGTAGCTAAAAGGCCCTCCGACTTCCTTAAGGTTGAAGGCAGAACTTGATTTTCAAATGTCGTTAAGATGATCCAGGTTGTTGCGGTGTCTAAGGTCATTTCAAGGCAAAGCGCTTCTTGGCACATGTTCAAATTGTCTCAAGTTTTGTTAGCCTTCTCTCTCGGTTACTTCTGCTTCGTGTCGTGGTCGTTGTTTGAAGTATTCTTCCCTTCGAACTGTAAAGGACCATCAGGATGCGTAACACCAGGATGGAAGCCAGACGACGAACTCAAGGTATTCCTTATTTATATTTCTATTTTCCTTGAAGATACATTTACAATTTATCAAAGGAGGGGTTTTCGTTGGAGATATTTCAACAACTGAGACTTTTAAAATCAATACTGGATTATTAAAGTAACTTTTTTGAGTTCTAAACTCACTTTTGAAGGAAATATAACTGCATGGTCGACATACCTTTGACTAGCGATTCTATCGCAACTGTTCGCTTACGCTTGTTGACGAGTACCGGCTCAATCATTTCGAGCAGTGATTTTAGCCTATTGACTCATAAGGAGGCAACTCGAACAGCTTTCAACTTGATGACCAGCCATGTAAGTTCGTTTGATTTTTATTGATTCTGCTTGGTATATTAATACTGTTAACTGGAATTCAGTCAACAACATATTAAAAGTTTGGCATTTATCTTGAAGTTTTACTCAAAAACTCAATGTTTCAATAAAATTCAGGCGTTAAGTTGTGCTAGTTCATCTCGCTTACTTGCATGTAAAATATTCTCATGCTTCACTTCCAGAAGTAATGTTCTTAGTACTTCAAATATATTACACAGAGTTTGAATAAATCCTAAGCTATTAGTTTGTATGAATTTCTCGGCAGGGATCACCCAACAATTCAAACAAGGATCATAGTTTGCTTGCGCCGTTTTGGCTATCAACACTGCGTGTATATGTTCTTCAAACCCCAGTGTCCTTCAGTCGATATAATATGCCTGGTGAAATAGTTCGGCGTATTCAGCTTAGTTCAAAGGGGTATTTACCAGTAATATATGTTAACCCCAATTTTCAAGCCTCAAGTGATTGGTTAGAAGTCAACCAACCACCTGAAAATCGTCGATTAGAAATGGTCCTATCCATTGAGCCACTTTCGATTGGACATTTGCGTTTGCGGTGTATGTTGGAGGCAGTGGCTGATCAGTTACTCTCTTATGGTAAGTTGTTTCATAATTAAAATTTAGTTGCATATCCCAAATACATTACTTCCCAATCGAGTGTGTCGTTTCGTCAGTTCTTGTCCAAAGAGGCGTAGGCTCAAAGCTAAGAGAAATTAGACTAGTGTTTTGAAAAATGGAAGTTATCTGTTGCATTCAGTCATCTTCAGAACCGATATCAACTTGTCGTTTACAAGTCTCCTGAATTTCCAAAAATATAACTTGAAGATATCACGTACCTCAGTGATGTCAGAACCATGGAAACAGAAATACTCTAGTTGCCCCCCCATACGCTCAAGTGGTCTCCTTTAACATCGAATAGATTGCGTGAGAAGCATTCACTCACGTTTTACTCGTTCGTTTGTTAATTTCAGTTTACTACTCATAAATAACGCTATTAAATCTCTCAAAAACACTACATCTGAAAAGGCCTAAAATTTAGGCTAATAACCTAATCGGACTTCAAAAATTGATTCACTCTGCACACAGTCTTGTCTAATTTACAGGGAACTTAATGCTATATAATTTGTCCAAACAACAGTGAATCGTCTGTGATATATTCTTTTGGTACAAATAAGGATATTATCAAGAATACTATTTGATAGGATAAACGTCAGTTAATAAATATTATGTTTATCATGAACTACTTACTTAACTTAGTTTTTGGACAAATATTGATGCATGTTTAAAACACTGATTAACATTCAGCAAACAGTCTTACCCGTCCCGTAACACAAAAGATGAACAATATTTGGTGTTTAATGAGGACTTATGGTGGCACCTCTTAATTTGTTTGCTTCATGAGGCCGAATTCACATAACAAGGTGTTAGATTCGGCGGAAGGACGACATGGGAAAGGTGCTATAACCAATTTTTCCACAGGACGGCAATAGATGAGCTGATAAGAATTTAGAAGCTTATTATTGTCGGTGATGGTTACTGTTAAATTACATGGTTGATAATAACTAAGTTATTGTAGTTAAATTGGGTTATAAATCATATATCATCACAGGTATTACCATATCTTTCGGTCAAGGTCACTACTTTGTATGAAACTATTAATGGAGACCAGACTTACTCAACAAATAATCTGGCTTAATCAAGTAGTTTGTTCTAGTAAGAGGAATGAGAAATGGCGTATATCAATAAGGATAGATTTAATAATTTAATGACAATACCATTAATATATTATTTAGCCAAATATCGTGAGGTAAAACCAAGCATCAAAAAGTCCCACATTGATTTCCGAAGTGATGCAAAACATATTTAAAGATACAGGGTTAAATTTTTTATACCCCACCATAGTGTAGTTAGACGGTGTAAAAAGTAACAATGGTTATAGCTTCTTGGAAATGGATGGTCACAGTTTCAGAAAAGAGAGATTGCTTCACTATAAAAAGATTTTGAAGGGTATGAAGTATCGTACGGGCAAACCCAGGTTACCTTGATGTTACTACGAAGTAGCCGATGGAATATATTTTTGCTCTAGATAAAGACAAAGCATATGCTAGAAGAGTAGCCAGTGAAATATAAGGCTGAATAGCTGCATTAACACAGTCGACTCATCAAGTCGTAGCTATGGCACTTGCCGGTTTGTCGTATTTAGTGTCAGCTGAATTCCCAACTTAAGTGAAATAACCACCATCAGTCGTCTTTACTAAATCCAAGTTTGTACACTAAATACCGTTTGAATGTAAGACGGCTGTGAGAAGAGCGAATTTCTTTGTACATAACAAACAGGATAAAAGAAAATTCTTAACATTTTCTGCAGTTCAGAATCTGGAATGGTTGGTGAAGTTTTTTCACTGGTATTCCCGATATAACACACAAGACCATCACCCTTGTATGCTTAGGTGTGCATACTTCTTACCATGAAATTTAATACGACTATTCCATTATTTTATATTCTGATGAGCGACAAAAGTGCAAGTTTGCTAACGTCTAACAAACTGAACGAACTGCGCTTGGCTTTAAGTTTGTCATTTGTCATAACCGATTTAGAATATTCAGCCTTATCAACATTTCGACAAGCATATCCAAATGCTGAACAACCAAGTTACCTGTTCCATCTAAGTCATAATATATGGCGTAAACTACACCGATCACCAAACTTTCAACGACGTTATAAGTCAGTTGGTAATTTTGTTTTGGAGATCCGTCATTTGTTAGAGTTACTTTTTTGTCGGTCACATGCAACAGGATATAATAGTTTAATAATCAATATTCTCCGCTGAAAAAAGAGAAACCAAAGATTTAACAAATTATTTTAAAAATAATTGAATCTGAAAACAACAAAAGACAAAAACTGCAACCATTCATTTTTTTAAATTGTACTGTGGAACGTCTGCAGTTCTGTTGCAGATCTTCTTAAAATGAAAAACACAATGAAGGGATAGTGTAGAGGCTTTAACCAACACACTGGTTTCGCTCATCTGATGTGAAAATATACTGATCCTCCAATAAAAGAAACAAAGTCTGAATGAGTTAAAAATCAAACGATTCATTGCAAGAATACAGAAACATCACTTATAAAGAAACCAAAAGGAAGTATCATCACTCATTACACTGATGGTAGAAGATTATAAAAACAAATATGTACTAGACTGTCGAATGGCATACAATTCGAATTTGCAAATTTAGACTTTTAAGTTGTGTTGCGAGAATTTCAAAATGTAGTTAACATTTTCATTCACCTTGAGTTAATACGTCACCGTTTTGGGTCTCTCTTGATTTATTGTGTCTAGCTAATATATTTTTGGCATTATCGTACTATGAAGTAGCCCTTTTGATCTCCTTCATTTTACATCCCTTTATTGAAGGACAAACAGTCGAGTTAGCTCTGATATAATGTTTTATATAGTCATATGATTGGTACTATTATTTTGCATCTAAATGGAACTGACGTCGTGGTTTTTCTAAAGTGTTTTCAGTTTTCCATCGATCTGTACATGTAAGATAGTTTTCAGATGTATTCTTATTAACTGATGTGAAACTTCCATTATCTTTAACAATGTCCATCAATGTAAGTAATGCTTTGTCATTTTCATAGGTATAAAATCAAAGGAGATTGACGAGATACGTGGTATTTTTCTCGACACCAATTTATACCTTCTGCTGACCACATTATTTGTTTCTGTTTTCCATGTAAGTTCAGTTCGCATAATCTCTTTTACCTGGTAGCGTCATGAAAGCAAAATCCTAAAATCGCACACTATTTATAGTTAAATAATTTACAAAACTATGATCTAAGTGTTGGTTTCCATATTCTCATACTCCTACAGAAATATAGACTGTTCACAAAATTTAAACTGAGTCATTTTTGGAATAACTTAGGTCTAGGTAACGTAGTTAGGTGTTAAAATGCAAGTGACTCCAGTTACTCTTGGCATTTTTCGTCTACTGATTCATACAACCTAAAAGTATTTCTTGAAATCAATCTAATAAATTAGGTTGCTCGCAGATTATTGTTTATTATTATGCTGTTCGTTTTAATCACATAGAGGAGTGGTTCAGCTCGTTCGTCTACTTTCAGTCCATTGTAGTTACTAGCCTCTAGAAAGTGTAGATTGTTAGGCTCCCATAGATTTCACTATACTTATAATTATCATTTTATTAAAACAATGGCTTTATTGTTTCGACGATAATATTTCGGTAATTAATTAAGTCATTGTTTTGAAAATATTTATTTATTATTATTTGTTTTAACACATGGGTATTGGTACAAGGAGGCACCAAATACATATGCGCCACATAAATCTCGTTTGGTATGTGTAAGGGCTGTGATATTGCCCGGGCGCCCAAACCGAAGCAGGTTGTTTTAAAAATAGCATCAGCTTCTAATATTTGGGCGAATTGATTCTATTACCGCCTCTCTTCTTATCTGTGTGTTCACAATTACGCTCCAGTCAGCTATTATCCACAACCAGACAGTGGAACATCGATACCTAACATTTATCTCAGCGGTTTTGTGTAATTTTCACAAGGTTAAGTAGAATAGCAGGCTCTTAGTCAACTCTGCCTTTTTATAAGGTCAGTGGTCCATACTTGTCAATTAGATTAACTGAGATATAAAGTAGTTTGTTAGCTGGACTCAATTTCATTCAGAAAGTTGCCTCGATACATACAAAAGGACAAGAATCTCATGATAAAAACAATGGGATCGCTTGGGTTATTTGAATGTCTAAAATATTACCTTTAATCAGTGGGTGCATGGCTAAAGGTTAGTAACTGCGAACTCGATTAAAATGATCAAAATTCAGAACTGAACTTTGATCTGTCGATCACACGTTTACCCTTCGCTCGCTTACATTTGAGTTTACTCAGATCCGTTAGTATATAGGTCATGGGGCGTTTGTTATTGAATAGCATACTAAGAAGATGTACAAACCTGTTTAATACCGTTCAGTAGAATACTACTACTGGAGTCATATCACTCGTTTAAATCGAGTAGTATTCGTTAGTGATGCTTGTTTTCTCTATTCTTTTAGTTCGTTTTAGGTATGCTTCTAGAGGTAAAAATTCCTCCATTTGACTTTTTTGGGTTCATAAGTTCGTGGAATAAGGTGTGTTATTCCTAGGGTGATCTTTAGTTTGATCGAAATTTATCAGTGAAGATCTGTTCTGTAAACACTATTCTTTTTTTCATTTTTGCATTTATACGCATATCCTATTTATCTATTGACTTTCTTCTTTCATCAGTTTTTATCTCATGCTATTGTTGAGTATGTAAATCCTCGTTCGTGTTTATTCAAAAAGTTCTTATTTTGTTACTTATTTGTTAGAAGTAGTATAAATCTGCAAACCATATTAATTCTTATCAGTCTCCAGGTTTTCAAAGAATTCAGTGTTACCTTTTTTTTTATAAAACTTTTATAAAGAATTATATACTTTTAAGCGAGATTTTTCTGTGTCTTTTCCACTAAATATTATTTACCAGTATTATGACGTTTCAGTGTCATTTGTCTTTCTAATCGATTATGGGATTAACAAACGTGAGCTTCTAGTGGGAGATGATAGATTGCTTTACTAATAAATCATTTACGTTCGCTTAATGTGACTATTTATCTCACTTTTATCGTGTACATTTCATAATATGAATCGCGAACTAAATGCTCCTTCAAATGAATTTTTGCATTCCTTAAATGATTCTAGCTGTTGTTCAGTTTTCTGGCGTTTAAAAATGATATTTCGTTTTGGCGTCGGTCAGATAATTCAGTTGGAATTTCTTTACGAACTAGTAAGTAAGAATATGTATGTCCTGTTAATTATTTTAAGTATCTCAAGAATTTAAGTGAAATTTCATCCCCTGAAAACATTTTGACTGATTTTTTCAACTTTCCAGTTGCTTATTTTACATTTAGACTGTAGAATATTTTTGATCCTACAGGTATTTTTTTGTCACATATTTTGTTAGTTCCTTCGCCTTTTTCCCTAGAAATAATAAGAACGGTTTATAGTTGAAGTTGTAAGGCTGTTTTAGAATACATTTACTTCAACTTCCAGATTTTTCTCAATTTATGAAAACAATTTAACGTCACGCTATTCATTGACAATTGATTCGCGTCTATATGAAGGTGTATTAATTCTTGGTTAACAAATAAGGCGAAGGGATCATGGTTTTTTATTCTGAGACACTGGATAACATACCGCAGTAGTATTTATATGAGAAAATAGTATCAAGTAGGAGGTAGTACAACAAATAAATTTAGATTTCTAATGGGTTTATCCTTTTGGTACAGCAGGAACTAAGTACACTTTAATTTTATTATTTTTATATGTTTTGCACATGGCACGTGACTGCTAAAATCTACTTACTGGTGAAATAGAAATTAAGTAAAATGTGCTACATTTAATGCATTCCTACCTTAGGGTATGATTATTTCCGATAATATAGTAGAAACTATATCAGCATTATTATCCTCCACCAAATTACTATGGTAAAATTCGATTGAAAAAAAGTTTCTGCATCATAAAAATACGTCACTACTTAATATGATGGAGTAGTGTTGGAAAGAGGAATCCGTAGATTACCAGCTTATAAGTGCTATCTGATTTCTATCCTATTACTCGTTTGGAATGAGGCGTTAGTTCTTAAAGGGGCTCTAATCTCAACTATTGGTTTAAGGGTTCAAACCTTATTCCATCTACTTAGGCTTTTACGGTGGAATAATACCAGTGGGATTCGAACCTGATATATGGCTTTCAGAGGACTAACCTGCTATTGGTTACTAAATGGGATTAACCGTTTATATCGCTTGGTTTATTTTTTGTGTTCTTTTAACGGATTAAAGGTAGTCAGAATGTATTCTCACTTTCTAGATTTATTTTTAAGTACATCACCCATCGTAATTTAACATAATGCTCATTGACACAGTTCGTTTGAGCCATGCTACAATGAACTGATAGGTCTCACTCACTAATTATGTGTTTAAGTATTCCAATAATTTTTCTGAGAGCTAATGATACCAACTTTATTATCCAATTCAAACTCAATTCTGTGTAGCGGGGTTCGAATCTGCGACTTAATAATTAAAGGTTGACTGTTTTGACCACTTAGTCACCATTGGCTATACCATGGAGTGTAAAACGTTTTTTAATTCAACTTCTATCTCTCTACTGTTTAGTTCACAATTTCTCTATCTTTGTTTTTTCATATGGTGAAATGAAGTTGTGTGGAGATTCGTCAGTTCCTTAATTATATTTCTACATTTATGGGAAGAGAAAAGTAGCCTAATAGTTTCTGTTCCAATGGGAATATCTACTTTGATAGAATTGTGGAAGTTAGGTCGAATGACTAAATTTTCTATTAGTTTTTATCATGGTGTCCGATGGGGTAAACGGTCGAAGGAGGAAGAAGCAACCGATCAATTAGATGCACAATTTATGCGGTGGCTGATGTATATTATGATTCCTCTTTGTATTGGTGGTTCGGTTTATTCCTTATTTTATTTACCACATCGAAGGTAGGTAATTTGATAATTACTGTTGATCTCTTTTTTTGCTATATTCTCATTAAACGGTATGGATAGGGTTTTAGTCATTATTAAATATTTTCAATCTGTGAAAATTTTTAAAAATCTCCACATACCTCTTCTGATATTAAATATTTGTTATAATACCTTTCCATTTTTTTCTTTTGATCTAATTGTCTGTGGATATTGTTGAAATAATGTTATTATTTTACGTTTTTTGATACCTTTTCTATGGTTTATTTCTTTGAATGCTAACCTTATATTCGTTTATACTTTTAACACGTTTCTTTTTAGCTGGTATTCTTGGTGTTTAGAGACAATGGTTAATGGTAAGTTTCATTTTGCCCACTGAATCAAAATTTATAACTTAGTATTTTAGTACTATGCTTGATTTTAGTAACCATTTTTTAAAGTTATCATTAGTGATGAGTTAATAAATATTCAGATGATTATTTCTAGAGATTTCTTCGACTTCTGTTATCATCACCAATACTATCATTTTTCCTGAACTGTAAACTCATTGATGTATATGGCTCTTTGATAGTAATTGCAATAGTAAAGAGATTGTAGAAAGGTTATTTTTAATGAAGAAAATAAAACTTATGCGTGAAAATGCTTTTTAGAAAATCATAGTCAGGAGAGATTTTACTTACTCGTGAAAGTATATTTTACTGTTTTTTGGACAAGATGTCAATTAATTTTGATTTTGAGATATGTATATTAATCCTTTAGATCCGTAATCTATTGAACTGGAGATTAGAGTGAAACATTCTGCTTTTTTCAAGCCATTCTTCAGACTCATTAGGTAGTAAACATTCGAATAGTTGTAATGTACATTAGACAAGTCATTTATGAAGATGAGTGATACAGTGGCTTCTATCTAAATTGATTATAAGTTATCAGATTATTGCTTCATTTTAAACCATCCAGTGCATTTGTGATCTAAAGAATCAACATTTAGGCTTTTTTAAAATTCCTGTTTGATTATGTTGATCTGTATTCATCGGTTGTCAAACATACAATATAGAAGTTGAAACAATAGGTCGGTCTTACTGTATATTTTCACATTCAAGCCATAATTCATCAGGTATCCAGAGCTAACGAAATGAGGTCGTTCCCACTATTAATCACTTCTGACTTTATGTAGGCATCCTAGCACAATAAGGCATGAACGAGCTGCCGATAACGGGAGTAAAGTTAATCAGTATCTCCCCACTTTTTACGTTAAGTGTGACATCAACATTTGAGAGGCTGTAAGCTGATATTACTTGTGTTGTAAATTCTCCATATTTAAAGGTTTAATTTTAAGCGTGAAAGTCAGTTTTATTCACTTCATGATATGTTTATTTAGTGCACTTTGGATCGATCACGTCCCAGATTTGAAATTATCATATTCTAATCAATTAGTTACTTGACGTAGTAGTGCATCACTTCATCATATTTTCTGCGCATTATTATTATTTCCGGTGTTTTGTCGACAATTTAGTATTCTCATATGTTTATCAATAAAACGTTATTATCCTTTTGTAGGTGTTTACGCTTTTGGATTACTATTAATGACACCTCAACTTTTCCTCAACTATCGATTAAAATCTGTAGCACATTTACCATGGAAAGCAATGACTTACAAAGTAAGTATTATTATTAACTTAAAAGATCCTATAATTTCCAAAGTGGCAGTTGTCACAGGATTGAAAAGCGTCATTCCTGCTTTTTCAAATTTTTTATGAAGCATATAGCTTTATTTGTCATACAATCAATTCCATTCGGTTTTCGTACTCAAACAACATCACCAATCTTCTCATAAGTGTGTTTTGAAAGTAAATCCAATAAATAAATAAAATCAATTGGCTACGTCCTACAAAACTTGTCATCTTTCAGTGAGCTTTTTAAAACCATTGTTGTCCCTCACTTACCTTGTGAAATAAAATGTAGAAAACGATGTCAAGTTCATAAAGCTTAAATGAAACAGTTATCCAAGTACTCTCTGGTTTTCACTGGTTCTCTAACTGAAATCGATTTCAGATTGAATATACTTTTAATTCATATGTCCTATAATTTTTAAACGTTTATTACTATTATTATTTTTTTTTAAATTAGTTTTCATCAATTTTCTCTTAAAAAGGGAATTTATCAGTTTTTATTTTCTATGGTCTTACTTTTTTCCAGGCATTCAACACTTTTATTGATGACTTTTTCGCATTCATCATCGTAATGCCTACATTACATCGTATTGCTTGTTTACGTGATGATTTAATATTTTTAATCTATTTATATCAACGATGGTATGTCAGTTTACTATGCTTCATATTTATTTGTTTTTAATTCGACGTGATGGGTCTTGTTTCATATTAGGATTTCTTGGGGTATCTTTCTATTCGATAGTTATTTGACAAGCAAAATCTTTTATATATAGTACGAATAATGAAACTCAATATTAACTAGGTATTGTAGGAGATAAGATTTTAATTTGTCAATAAAAATGGAGGTGAATTTGTATATTGCATTTGACTAACTCTCTTCTCTAACTAAGTATTTGATTGGTATTTATGTCTTCATGTATCTACCATTTCACTTATTCTCTTAACCAATCCTTCATAAAAGTAGTTTAGTACCTCAAGTTACAACCTATCAGTATTAAAGCAGCCTTTCTAGGTTCTGCTTTTCAGTATTTCAGATTCAGTGGATAACCCTAGAGCAGACTCTTATCTAGTTAATCTAGTTCATTGATCAGTGTCGTAACATTAAGTGTCAGTCAGTCAGTAACAACGTAGAACTTCGTACGTACGTACATCAGTTCGAGTTGCCACAACACATTAGCACAGAGATGCAGTGGTCGATTCAAATCCCGTAGTGGTAGAGGTAATAAGAGTATAAGCAATAATCGGGAAGATTAGTGTTTGGAGATGTTATTTAAAGAGTATAATACAGTGAAATAAATTTGGGAAGAGAAAAAGAGACAAGGAGGATTCAAAAGATTGAAATTTGGGAGAACAGAAAGAGTGGATGCACCTTGCGACATTGCAAACGATTTTCAGCCATGTCATTCAGGGTCTCTAACCGTCGGTTACTATCATCTCGCGGTCCCCAACCAACATGGCTCAGTCCACTTGTCAGTCACTTCATGGACTTGTGCCATGTTTTGGTCTGGCCGCCCCTATCTTTCTTCCAACCTACTCCTATACCACTGAACATCGCACATCGAGGCAGTCGGTCGTTGGGCATACGTAACACGTGTCCCAGCCATCTCAACTGATGAAGTTTCACTACTTCATCAATTGATTTGCCATCCTTACCTAGTACCCGTTTCCTAACAACTGCATTACTTACTCGATGGTCCCAGGATATATGAGCAATGTTTCGAAGACACCTATGATCAAATACCAGTAACCTACGAATATCCTCTACTCTTACCGGCCATGTTTCACTGCCATAAAGTAGGACGGAACGAACTGCTGCGCAGTAAACTCGTCCTTTGGTTGATAGACAGATATCTCGCCTACGCCATAAATGACGCAAGTTGGCGAAATCAAGCTAGTCGAGCCTTCTGTATGCGTGCTTGAGATTTCGTCACACACCAGACCACAGGGGCTGATGATCCTTCCAAGATAAGTGAAGCGATCGACACGTTCAATTACTTTACTCCCTATCATTAGTTTGGGTGTCAATGCAACCCAATCCTGAAGCAACATTTTGCATTTCGAGGGAGAGAATCGCATCCCGAACATGCTTGTATTGTTGCTTAGAGTGGTCAGAAGACTGCATTTTGTGAGCGTCTTCACCAAACAAAACTATGTCATCAGCATATTCTAAGTCAACAAGTGAATCTCCCGGTAGAAGTTCAACCCCTGGAAATCCAGACGAGGAAAGTGTTATCTCTAAAAGTACGTCGACGACAAAGTTGAACAAGAATGGAGAGAGTGGACAGCCCTGACGAACACCACTTGAGGTAATCAATTCTGATGACAGTTCGCCATAAGCTCTCACTCTACCAGTTGTGTTCTAGTAGAGAGCCTTTACAAGGTTAATATACTTCTTTCAGTGGCAAATACTTCCACAGAACCCCACGATCAACAGAGTCAAATGCCGCCTTAAGGTCGAGAAATACTACGATTGTGGGGCGTCTGAATGTGTGTCTGTGTTTTAGAACCTGACGTAGTGTGAATATCTGGTCTATACAACCATATCTAGGTCGAAAACCAGCCTGATTTACTCTAGTCTGTTCTTCACGAGCTTTGGTTAGGCGTCGAAGTATTATTGAAGCTAATATTTTAGACATTATATTAGTCAAACTGATTCCTCTGTGATTGTCATAAGAGAACTTTTGTCCTTTCTTATAGACTGGTACAATCAGTGATTGAGACCAGTCAGATGGAATTACGAATATGAAGTGTAATAAATGGTATTCTTAATTCTAATGATGATCTAAGGTCATGTGAGATATGTAAAGTCATTGGTGATTTTATTGAATTTTTTGCACAAACAATAGTCGAATATAAGAGGAAAACAAACAATACCATATTTTATTAAGTTATTGGTAAAGTATTCACTTTTTACTAGATATAACCATTTATTTTTTCACTCTAAATTACTTATTGTTTCTATTCAGGCTTTATCCGGTAGACAAATCACGCATCAATGAATTTAGTGAAATGACTGATGTTAATTTCCAGTCAAAGTCTACTTCTGTTGTTACAAGTTCTAACAGTGATAAAGGGAAATCTAAACTAGCATGATTAAATTATTTATTGGTGTTGTTCTTGTGATTATTCGTATAGTCTGGCTTTTTATCGATGTATCCAAGAAGACCGTTATTTTATTCTATTCTGTTTTGTTTTATATGTTTTATTTCCGTCTTAACTCATTTGTATATTTGTCAAATGTGGATATTTTTTTGTTAGTTAAATAATCAGTTATTCTTATGGTTTTATGTTTATTCAATAGACTGTTTGGTCATTATATTGATCAAAACAATATCATCTCACAAACTTACTATCTATGTACAATTTCACTGTACTAAGTTATATGACAACTATTATACTAACCTGGCTACCCAAAGTTCGGTAGGCATAGCTTCTATGAATAAGACCATCATGTAGCGTGAAATAAACAGGCGGATTACGATTCTTATCGATATTTGTTCATCCCGTTTGAGATTTTCAGCCATAAATTACGATTGTATTGTGAATTCAAACTATGAATTGTTTATTCCTTGATGGATTAAAACAGTCTACAATAATCTACTATATTAAAGACTGGACCAGTTATGTCTCAGTACTTTGTATTTCCCATTTAATTAAAAAGACAGCGAATTCATTACAGTCAGACGAATTTTCGTCCCTATTTCTGAAAACATTCAAAAGATCTCGTTGATCATAGATGCTAAAGTTCATAAAAGCACAGTAGCTTAATCGTTATTTAATATCGCCCATATCACTCAGTCGTCTACAACGTAGGATCAGGCACATATATGCATCGGTCGAAGTTGCCACACCTCATTAGCACAACAAGATGAACATCAAATTAATAGAAGTAGTTACTTCAATGGCAGTAGTATATATAAAAAAGATTGCATATAAAAATATGATACAGAGAAGAATTAGTTCGTAGAAAGAAAGGTACAAAGTAATTTTAATCTCAAGGTGTGAGGGAGGATAAAGAGTGTATAGACCTACGCCATTGTGATGGATTCTGAGCCATGTCACCCAGAGTCTCCAACCATTGGTTAGGATCGTCACGCAGACCCCAACCAAGTAGTCTGCATCTACCAACATGTCTCACTCTAGAAGCTAGTGTCTTAAAGGACTGGTGTCACGTTTTGGCTTGGCCGCCTTTAACTTCTTAACAGCACTAAAGCCCCCATGTATATCATGTTTCTAAGCCTTTCAAAATTATAATGTCTAGTACCTACGTCGAGCCCATATGGCTTATTCAAGCTCCCAGACAGACCGATTTATTCATTCTATTCACGTTACATTTTGACATTGTCAGCCATTTGCCTATTAAACTTGACTGTTTTTATGTGGGCATATGTGTGTGCACTGCTTACCCTACTCATCACGTGTCTGTAACCTATTTTTGTTTGACTAAATATTGAGTCACGCTTGGACAAATCGAGTTGGCTCACTCTCTTCCACCCCGCTTTTCCACTTCATATTTTGGATGTCTGTCTGGATAAACGAATGCTTGAAATAAATTCTTACAACGGAACTCGTATTTGGCTTCTTGTTACCGCTGTCACACAAACAGGCTTAGTGTAGATAGTATACGGAGAGAAGTTGGTGATTTATGTTCATTGCATATTTGTACAATCTAATTGTCGAATTGAAGGGCTACAAAAAACAATTAATGAACAAAAGAACTGGATTCCATTAGTTTTTGCTGAAGAATTTACAATCGGATTACTTTCGTAGTTTTTATATATCAAAAAAGTTATTCAGTAAATAATGATAAATATAATTGTTTGTTCATTCATTTAATTATTTCGGAAATTACTTTACAACCGTGACCAATAATTATTAGTAAAAATGTAAGCCAATAGTTATTTATAAACAGAGATGGATGATGGCTAGCAGTGTAATCCAGGATGTGCGTTTTGTTCTTTTTGGGGCTCGTCGTCTAGATATACCTAGATTCGAGAGTTTATATCCACTCCGTGACTCGAACTCAGTACCTTTCTCTCCGAATGCTGTTGCATTATCCATTTAGTTACTGAATCCGGATTTATTTATCAATAAATAAATAAATATTGCATAGGTTTTTACTAACCAACGAACCGTTCTTCGTATAGAAAAATCAACTGATATTACGTGATACTAGTATCGAACATTCTGTAACTATAGAAGTTAATCTATCAATATGTATTTGTGTAATTACTTACTTAGGCCTGTTACTCCTCGTGAAGGAGCATAAGCCGCTCACCAGTATTCACCCAACCCTGTCCTGGGCAATCTTTTCCAGTTGTTATTCATCCTTTCCATATCTGCTTCTATTTCCTGACGTAATGTGTTCTTTGGCCTTCCTCTTTTCTGCTTCACTTCAAGATTCCAAGTTAGCACTTGTCTCGTGATGCAGTTTGATGGTTTGCGTAATGTATGCCCTACCCATTTCCATCGTCTTTTCCTAATTTCTTCAGCTGGAAGCTGGTTCGTTCTCTCCCGGAGAAGGCTGTTGCTGATTGTATCCGGCCAATGGATGTTGAGTATCTTGCGTAGACAACCATTTATAAATACTTGTACCTTCTTGATGGTGGTTGTGGTATTCCTTCAAGTTTCAGCTCCGTACAGTAGGACTGTCTTGACGTTCGTATTGAAGATTCTCACTTTGATATTGGTTGAAAGTTATTTTGAGTTTCATATGTTCTTCAATTGTAGGAATGCGGCCCTTGCTTTGCCAATCCTCGCCTTTACGTCTGCATCTGAGCCTCCTTGTTCGTCGATGATGCTTCCCAGGTATATGAAGGATTCTACATCTTCCAAAGTTTCGCTATCAAGAGTAATTGGATTGCAGTTCTCCGTGTTGTATTTGATGACCTTTGTGTTCCCCATGTGTATGTTGAGGCTTACTGATGCAGAGACTGCTGCTACACTGGTTGTCTTTATCTGTATTTGTTCGTGTGCATGCGATAGGAAGGCTAGGTCATCTGCCATTATTTATTACATGATAAAATCGTCTACTTATAAAAATTCATAATTCGAAGTCAACAGGTAAAGTGATTATTTGTATGTAGTTGATATGAAAATGACATTGATCATTAGTAACTGACTAGTTATTTAATTTAAACCCTAAATATAAACCTTTATTGATGGTTTTCGCTACACATAAATAATCTCCAGTACATTTTGGTAATAATACTTAAAGTTATTTACTACTTGAGATTGCTCTCACTTTTTTGCCAATCAAATTTCAGTAAATTAATAATTGTTATATTTGTCTCCTTGTGTCATCCTCAAGACATAACTGATATTTTATATGATTCTTTTTATTTCAACGGAAATTCATCTGAAATTTTTTTATTTATACCCTGTAAAGTCTTTTTGGGAAACAATTTCTTAGTCATGAAATAGAGCACAACAAAACTTTTAATTACATACATCGTCACTTATTTTATCTACATTGTTATTGAAATGAATAAAAAAGAATACACCGATATTGTATTTTACCTTCTTTTAATTTTAGTACAGAATATCTTGAAAGCATTATACAATTGTTCAATACCTTATGAATTATTTTAAGCATATATGTTGTTTAATTTTGATTAATACAGACAGTGTCCGTTGATAAATATGTATTTAAAGAATAAAATGTTGTGTCCTAGTAGAGGCACATGTTTGTTTCTCATTATACTATGAACTAGAAGTTTAATCAAGTAGTTTGATAAATTGTCAATGTAAACCATTAGAAAATCCTTTAGTTTACGTTAATTAATAAGTGGTATTCAAGAAAGCATCTGTAAACACAAACTGACTAAGTGATCTTAACATACCATAATATCAAAGGATAACATTAATACCACTCGTTTGTTAATCATGGAGCACAAATTTACGTATACACAGACTACATAACGAAAACTTAACGTGATTAGAAATTATTTTTTCATGTATAGTAGAAGAAAAATTCATTTGTAATTTATTGACTATCCAGCGATGTTAAGCTTTGATCATGTTCGTTGCTTATCGCTACGGTATAATAACAAACAACCATTCACAAATCTAATGAGTCACTGGCAATGGCTGTGATTATGATACAGGATACTATGGGTTTGAATATCATGGAAAATATCAGTTTCATCCAAATTTCAGACACTGTCGAGTGGTAATCAATTAAGTACCTCAACGTTTATGAGAAACTGTATGAAAAGATTTTTGACAAAAAAACTTCCGAATTGGCAAACGATCAGTCATTTGAAGAAAAATTATTTTCGTTTACATTTGAAAGCCGAATAATATGTTTATTCACGTAAAACGATTGTTGGTTTCCGATGAACTAACTGTCATTTTACCGACAGACTGTTTGTTATGTGTTGATTGACATCTAACAATTACTTACTTACTTACGCCTGTTACTCCTCGTGAAGGAGCATAGGCCGCTCACCAGGACATCTAACAATGGTTTAATAATTATTATTATTTATTTATTTGGACACATGAATATTGGTACAAGAGCGCCAATATATATGCGCCACACAAAACTGAATACAAAGAAAGAAAAAAAAGCTAAGGAGCGCAACCAAAAAAAAGAGAACAACAACGAAGAGATTGGTGTAAGGTAATGTGCTAGTAATCAGGGAACGCAAAGGTACAATCGGAAGAAATCTTTCAGGTAAGGGAGACAGAATCTTTTTTTATGAAGAAAGTAAAAGAAGGTTACAGCAGGATCGCCACTGGCTTCTATTCTGAGCCATATCTGATAACGTCTCTAGCCACTGTGTAGCACCATCTATCAGACCCCAACCAGGGAGTCGTGAAGGACCAACACAAGCCAGTCCTTTGCAGCTTTCTTTCATACCACGACACCATGTCATGCACTGACCACCTCTCCGCTTCTTCCAACCAGTCCCAGAGTCGGCAAATAATGCACGACTTGGAATTCTCTGGGACGACATTCGGAGAACATGTCCAAGCCACCGAAGTCGGTGTTTCAAGATGGTCACACCAATTGAATTATCATCTGTGCCCGAACACACGATGCCGAACCTCTGCATTACTGCCATGGTGTTGCCACTGAATGTCAGCAATCCTTCGGAGACAGCGATGATCGAACACAGAGAGTCGTCTAACGTCCTCAACTCGGAGAGTCCAGGTTTCACAAGCATAGAGCAGAACTCCTCTCACCGACGAGTTGTAGATCCGACCTTTTACAGCCAGACTAACATCACGAAGGCGCCAAAGATGGCCCAGATTGGCATAAGCCGCTCTGGCTTTCACTATACGTGCATTGATCTCATCACTCACACCCCCACCAGCACTTATGCAGCTACCCAGATACACGAACTTCTCGACTACGTCTATCTGCTCACCATCCAGGGTGAGTACAGGATTCGAATCCTGCCAGTCTTGTAGAAGTACTTTGCACTTCGAAGGTGCAAAGCACATACCATACCTACGGACACTGATTGCCAACTGATTAAGTGCGGATTGTATGGCTTGGGCATTATCGCACAGTAAGACAATATCGTCCGCATACTCAAGGTCGAGAAGTCTTTCTCCAGGCAACAGATCCACACCGCCATTACTTACATTCATCAGAGCTGTTTCCAGAATGTCATCGATGGCAAAGTTGAAGAGGAATGGTGAGATTGGGCAACCCTGCCTAACCCCACTACTCGAATGGAACAATGGAGAGAGGTGGTTGTATGCCCTCACTCTGCCTGAGGTGTTTGTATATAGGGCTTTTAGGATGTTAATAAACTTCTCAGGCACACCCTTCTTCAATAGACAATCCCAGAGAACAGTCCTGTCCAACGAATCGAAGGTAGCCCTGATGTCAAGAAACACTACGATCGTTGGCCTTTGATAAGATTGGCGATGTTCTAACATTTGGCGGAGGGTGAAGATATGATCAATACATCCTCGACAAGAACGAAACCCAGCCTGCTCCTCGCGAGTCAATCTTTCTCGAGTTTTGAACAACCTACGAAGTATGACGGAAGCCAATAGCTTGGACGGAAGTAGACTTATCCCCCGATAGTTGTTACAGGAACGACGTGAACCCTTTTTAAAGATAGGGACAACTATCGACTCATTCCATGACGTTGGTACACTCTCTAGTTCCCAAACCTTTGTAAACAACGTCATCAATTCCTTAGTCAAAAAGTCACCACCATCTTTAAAAAGAGCCGGAGGTAAGTCATCTGGGCCAGGTGATTTGTAACGTTTCAAGAGTTGGAGTTCCTTGCGGACTTCCTCCTCGTTTGGTGGATCAGTCGTCACCGGCAATGGAGAGTAGGACAGTCTGACTGATGTTGCCGGAGCAGCAGACCAGTTGAACTGCCCTTCGAAAAACTCTGCCCATCGTCCAAGACGTCGATGGATGTTAGTGATTGGCATCCCATCATCCTCGCAGATTGTTTCACTCACACCAGACTTCTTGCTGCCAGTGGCTCGGATGAGCTGGAAGAGCTTCCGGTAATTACCAGATGCAGCTGCTGCTCCCAGCTCATTAGCACGCTTCGACCACCAGGCTTCTCAGTCCTTACGCAAGCTTTGCCCAATTTCCTTACGTAACATCCTTCGTTTATGGTCAAACTCACGGTCACCCG